TTAAAAAAAAAAAAAAAAAAAAAAAAAAAAAAAAAACAGCTTTTCGTGAATCATTAATAAATGATATAAATTAATTCCATTACAGGTCGTTTCTCTAAAGACGCAGTTCCACCACAAATTTCCCCCCTTTTTTTGGTACACCGTAATTTTATATTTGTTTGATTTGATGTGCAAATAGCTAACTCCCTGTCCTAGAGCTCTAAAGATTATAGTTACGGCAGGAGCTGCACCGTCCTAACCTTACAAGCTGAACCTACAGCTACTCAGCGCAGTATGTTACCGACAGAAAACATGGATCACATCTCACTTTGCGTCAACTCGGCCATTTTTGCCACTTTCTAATAGTAAAAAAAAAAAAAAAAGAAAAAAAGAAGAAACAAACCATTCATAACAAATGCTGCTCACAAGAACCAGTCGAGATGGAGCGTTTTTCTTCAGCAGGCCGAATAGCGATCGCGATAAAATGTACGGCGCCAGATGATTAACCTATGATAAACCAATAGCCTTACCATTTTCGTCATCCTTATCTACCCTTCAAATGAGCAGTAGTGACCAGCGCCACTGACCAGAATGCGGCAGGCACCACCAAATCATCAAACTATCATAACCGGATCGACATTTGCAATCGCATCATCACACACAGCCATTCAGAGTTTTATTGGCTCAGTTCAGGACAAAATTTACGATCGTATTCAACTAAATGATGATGATTATACATGGTTCTCACAGAGATATTCAGCAAATCCAACTGGAAAGTTGCCTTCCAGCAAGTTTTTCTGAATAACAGCTAATCAGCGACACCATTGAACGCATGTATTCACGATGAGGCTGAACCGGCCATTTCTGGACGTACAATTTCATAGCATTTTGCAAAAACTTAACGTTAATCCAGCAAAAAAAACGTGAGCATGAATTATAAACATTTTATTTGGGGAAAATAAAAAATACCTCCCCCCTCACATCTTAGAATTTTCACCTTTTTTTGCTTTTTTTTAAACGAACCTGCAATTTTTCTCGCACTATTAATTCACCGGCTTGCTGGATCGATCCATTAACTCAAATTTATGAAGCAGTGTGGATGCGAAAAGCACAAAAAATTGCTGATGGAAAATTTGACGCCGTTCCAGGTAGCGATCCTCATTTTGACGTAACTTAAAAAAAATATGCAACACTCACGTTTCTTTCAATGGATATTATACCTCAAGCCCTCACACCGGTGCATTTAGAAGCGATGGACGAAACGATAAAGTATGATGAATTACCGCTCCTAATTTATATAATGTTACACAAAACTGGTCCAACCAGGCCACTGATGTAAATAGGGCTGTCAGATTCGGAAAAAAAGACTTGCAAAAAATCTATCGCCCAAATCAGCAAACGCAAAAAAAAAACCATTATCGTTTCGTTCAGCGTCTACACACAAAATATTATCATTGAAAGACAAAAGAATTTTGAGATCAAGAAATAAAAAAAAAAAAAAAACAAAATGAAGGCAAGGGATCAGGGAAAAACACGACAACAGGCTGCACTCACTTTCTCCCAGTATATTTCAACTTCGAAATTTTCAAAAACCCCCAATCAAGAACAGAACGGTCGAAAATCGCCTAAATGTCAAAAAACAGCGCTTTTCCAAAAACACCTCCCGATTCCGACAGTTTTTTTTTTTCTTAAAAAAACTGCTTGAACTGTTTTTGTAGTGTATGCTTGGAAGATTATGTGAGAATGTATGTTGTGGTGTTATATCCAACAAGCGGAGTGTAAAAAAAATTGATGTAAGAGCTATCCCATATACATATATATACAGAACCCGCAACGACGAATGCTCAAAAAGTGAACATAAATTACAAATATTAACCTTAACACATATGCAAAATTTCATTGCAACATCCAAGAAAATACCAATTTACAAATGATGCCAGTGTTTTTTGAAAAATTTAGAGAAACGAGCATGGAAAAGCTTCATTTTTGTTACATATTTGGGCTATTGTCCAACTTTCATGATAGTTTTCTTGTCTATGAGATGACAGGAAAATGTACAGAAATCTCGCTCAGATGATAACATTCAGCTAAAGCAGCTTACTTTTCGAGGGCTG